GACAGACAGACAGGTAACAATAGAGACAGTCGGTCAGACAGACAGGTAAAAACAGAGACAGTCGGACAGACAGACAGGTAACAACAGAGACAGTCGGTCAGACAGACAGGTAAAAACAGAGACAGTCGGTCAGACAGACGGGTAACAATAGAGACAGTTGGTCAGACAGACGGGTCTTACCCTCTGCTTCATCTTAGCACAGCTAGCCACGCTGTCCCTGCAGCGGTTGTGAATAGTGACGTTGCATCCTGTGAGACAGAAATGTTCATGTTAGGTTTCTCCTCTCTACAAATAAACTGGATTACTTTTAATCTGTGGACCCTTATGGATGAACGGAGTATAAACAATTAAAGAATGGGTTTATAAAACGGCTTCTGGACGCCTTCAAAGGTTTGTTGTTGCAGCTCCTTTGTCTTCCCATGCTGCTATATCTGTTAATTGTGCTTTGTTTAGCTTTATTAGCTTTTAGAGTGATGACTTCTTTTCTCTGAGAAGAAGAAATAACACAGAAGTTCTGTTAATCATAAACAGGAGAAGTTAAGTCTGGTTTAATGAGGGTTATGAACGTAGGTTCTGCATGTTTATGGGTTTGAGTGATGCAGCGTATGTAAATATGTGGTTTTAACTGTATAATATAGTTAAATCAGACAGAATCGCCCGTCCAGCGCCGAAGCAACGGTCATAACTCTTAAAATAAGTTCTGACATCATTTGAAATGTCCTGAAAGTTAAAGTCCAGCTGCAACAGACCGAACACACGCTTTAACAGATGTCTCACAGCTGTGTGTATTTTGGTTCAGGAATGACATCATCAGCGCTAAAACCGATTTATGAGAAACAACCCGGCTCTGAGAGTCGACGTTAGGGCGTGTCTCTAGGTGTGGAGAGTCATTTTGATCCCTCTGAGTCAGAGTTTCTCAACAGGAAGTTCCTACTTCATGCCCAGCTTTGTTCCCTCTAGGGGGCAGCAGTGAGACCGTAAAATGAAAAAAAACTCAGCTGAGGGTTTTCACACCGATTTTAGAAAAGTTAGCAAGTGCGTCTGCTTTTTTCTCACAGGAAGACTCTAACGCTTACCTCAGACAGCTCTGTGTGCAACAGAGAAATTACCAATTCAACTCCAAAGGGGTGAAGAAGCAGATAAAAACATTATATAAATGTTTTTGTCCATGAACATTAGTGGAGCCACTTGGACAAAACAAAAGATGGGAGGCAGAGACGGCCAAAATGGGGGGAATATAAATGGAAAATTATCAGCAGATATTTCAGGATGCCAGACGTAGAAGCTAAGATGGATCCTAAAGTACTAAGTTTGTGTTGGAGAAACTGTGGGTCTGCAATCCCCAATCATACACATGGTCATGCCCCAAATTAGAAAACTTTTGGGACGATCTATAAAAGGAATAAACCAGAGCTTTCAGGA